TGTAATGCTTTAAAGTTTGTGAAGCATTTTATATATACTATCTTGTCTGATCCTGACAACAAACAGATGAAGCAGATGTTATTATCCTTTTTTAACAGATAAGGAAACTGAGACAGAAAGAGAGAGACTGAGTGACTTGCTCAAGGTCATACAATTATCAAATGCCCAAAGGCAAGATTTGAACCCAGATCTTTCTGACTCCAAATCCAGAGTTTTATCCACTACTCATTGCTGCTTCTATCCTGTTATTATTGTTCAATCATTTCAGTTACATCTGAATCTTTATGGCCCCATTTGGGATTTTCTTGACAAAATACTGGAGTGGTTTGCCATTTCCTTCTCCAGCTCATTTTACAGATGAGGAAACTGAAGCAAACAGGATTAAGTGACTTGCCCAAGGTCACACAGCTAGTGTCTGAGGGCCTAATTTGAACTCAGGTCTTCCTGACTCCAGGCCTAGTGTACCTAACTGCCTTCTTCTATCATGACTCCATACTAACCTTGTGGATAAATTTTTATTAACTTTATGAACACAGCTACAATTATTCAACTCAAACATCATCTTCTTCAGGAGACTTTTCCTGACTCTCTACCTCTTTCTTCCCCACATCCTCTCCCATCAGCTGCTAATTCCTTCTCCTCTAGGGTTAGCTTCCATCTCCTTTGTGTTATCTTGTATGTGTCTACTGATATGCATGTTGGGTACACTAGATGTTTCAAACTCCCAAACTCCAGACTGCAGCCCCAACCAGATTACCATGTAACTGGAAAATGTTTAACAGAATAAATAAAAATGCAACACAACACTGATAATGTTAATTTGTGTTTTTCTAAGTCAATTTGCTCCCTTCTTCCAACCCCTCGTCCCATACTTTTCTCTTTGTGTCTGACCGGTTCTGAACCACTGGTCTAAACCATTAGAATGTAAATTACTTGAGGCCAGGAATTTTCTGTTTCCGCTGTGCTTAGTCCTGCACATAGTAAGAGTTTAATAAATGTTTGCTAATTAACTGATTTATAGCTAAAAATATCTTAATATCATATATCAATATCATATTAGAATAAGGAGTGCAAGACTAACAATTTTACAGAAATGAAAAGAAAGAAGAATTTTTAGAAATAGATTTAACATATATGTGTAAGTAGATAGATATAGATATATTCATGTAAATAGATCTGTATCTATCACATCCCTTTCAGCAGTTGTTTCTCTTTAAATTGTGGCTTATTCACACAATGACCACATTTTCCAAAGCCTTTGTTTCCTTGAAATTGAAATTGTCCTACAAATTCCAGGGCCTAGTCATTGTCCAAGGTGCTGACCAAGGGAGTTCCTTGAGGAAATCGGTGTTCATCGGGAGATTAGTCTTTATGGGGGTCTCTTGTTTGTGTTTCCTTAACCAGACCCCTTGGCACTTAATAGTGGATGAGTTTCACTAATAAGAACAGCTTCCAAGATGAACTGGTTGACTCTCATTGTTGAAGGACAAAGTGTGTCAGGAGGATACACTCCCTTCACACTGGCCTATAAAAGGGAGTCTACAGATCTTCCAGGTCTTCTTTTCATCCATTTAAGCTTGTCTTTGAGATCCTGGAAGAGTGAGGTAGATATTGAAGAGGAGTGGGTCCTCCTACACACCCCAGCAATATCAGTTGCTACTAAGTGGCTGTCTTTGAGCAAAGGCATATAGCAAGCTGCATGTGCTCCTACCCAAGAGGCCACCCAAGAGTCATATATGGTAGCCTTGGGGTAGATGCAGATAGGCAGATGAGAATTCCTAGGTAATTTCAAGTTCCTGCTCCAAGAAACAAAGAGGTAATGGCCCAAGCCTATGGCAGCAAAGGATTGAGGTGCCCTATGACCAACTGACACGAGCTCTTGAGCCTTACCTCTCTAAGATCCCCAAGCTCAAGAGTCCCAGAATCTGGCCTCCTAGCCAGAAAAAGGCAGTTTTCTAAGCAATTTCACCTCATAACACAGCTTCCTGACCAGGAAAGGGAGAGTTTCCTGGGCAGCACAAGACTGAGGTGGCCACATAAGTAATTGCAAGTTTGAGAATTTTGGGATCTAATGTTCTAGAAAGAGAAGGGCAAATTTTAAAGTAGTAAGCCTCTTGATGAGAGAAGCTCATATACATGGCTCCTAGGCTATGTAAAAGGAGAAGCAGCATGAAGCTAAAATCACAACATGGGGAATAAGAGATCTAGTCAGTCAATAATAAGCATTTGTTAAGCACCTGCTATATACCAGACACTGTGCTAAGTGCTGGAGACACAAAGAAAGGCAAAAGGCAGCCTCTGCCTTCAAGGAGCTCATAGTCTAATGGAGATCTAGACCTCGCACTATATTTTTGTGACAGGGATTGACTGCTCAGCAATTTCAAATGCTGCAATAGGTGGAAGCTGACCAGACCCAAATGTAAGCAGGGTGTCAAGAAAGTCTCTTAAAAATTAGAACTATCTGGAGCAGCTAGGTGGCACAGTGGATAGACCTCTGGCCTTGGAGTCAGGAGGCCTCAGACACTTAACACTTACTAGCTATGTGACGGTGGGCAAGTCACTTAATCTTGACTGCCTCACCAAAAAGCCAAAAAAAGAAAAAAATAACTATCCAAAAGCAGAATCAGTTGCCTTGGTATGTAGTGGAGGTCTTCCAGCAGACTCTAGACGACAAGTTGTTAATTAAGTTATAATAAGGGTTCTTTGGTGCAGCTAACTGGCTTAGTGGATAGAGTGGTGAACCTGGAGTTATGAAGACCTGAGTTGAAATCCAGATTCAGACGCATAGTAGCTGTGTGACCCTGAGCAAGTCACTGCAACACTGTTTGTGTTAATCCACTAGAAAAGAAAATGGCAAACTACCCCAGTATCTTTGCCAAGAAAACTCCATGGACAGCACAGTCCACAGGGTCATAAAGAGTTGGACACTATTGGACAATTGAACAATAACAAGGAGTTCTTTGTCAGGCATGAGTTGGTCCAAATGACCACTAAGGTCCCTTCCAACCTCATATTTTCTGATTCCATGAGTCCAGAGGGAGTCCAAATGATAGCATAGAACCATGAGTATGGGGGACTCAACTGATATCTGAAGTTAAATAAAGATGCCATCCTCCAAGATAAAAGCATATTTCATCAGAATCTTTCACACAATGGACATTAATGCTGCACCATGAGATGGCAGGAACCCTAGGGTCTTGGAGCCTATGGCAGGACAGCAGAACTTCTGAAAGGTCTTACTAAGTCTTAAGCATTTATGATCTGAGGACAAACCTAGCTAAGCCTGAGAAATTCATCAAGCCATATGAAGAATCATTTATTAAACACCTACTGTGTGCCAGGGACTGTGCTTAAGCACCAGGGATATGAAATGAAGGCAAAAGGCAGTTTCTAACCTTAAGAAGCTTACTTTCTAATCGGGGAGATAACTCTGTGTGTGTGTGTGTGTGTGTGTGTGTGTGTGTGTGTGTGTGTATGTATATGATATTTTGTTCAGTTCTTTCAGTCACGTCTGACTCTTCATGACCTCTTTTGGATTTTCTTTCCAAAGACATTGGAATGGTTTGCCATTTCCTTCTTCAGCTCATTTTACAGATGAGGAAACTGAGGGAAACAGGGTTAAGTGACTTGTCCAGGGTCACACAGCCAAGAAGTGTCCAAGGCCAGATTTGAACTCAGAAAGATGAGTTTTCCTGATTCCAAGCCTAGTGCTCTATCCACTGCACTACCTAGCTGTCTCTACATAAAAGATATATACAGGGTAAATTAGACATAATCTCAAAAAGAAGACAGTGGGGTTGGGGTAAGAGAAATGGGGATGAGATAAATAAGAACCAGGAAAAACTTCTTACATAAGGTAAGAGTAGAGTCTGAAGGATATATGGAGATGTTTGTGCACCATGAGATGAGTTCCTTTTTTCACTCACAAACAGTTTATCATCAAATATTGTCTGTCAGGAATAGAACATTGGTGGTAGACAGAGTACCCAAGTAGTGAAATCATGGAATCTCTGAACTACTAATACATTTATAGTATGACTCTCAATCACAAAAATATGGGATGAATTCTAATTTACCATTTTATGATTATTTCTTTGCAACAACTATTCAGTTATTTTCAGTATATCAAAGGCAGTTCCCACACACCAAGAATTCCCAAATTGACAAAAAGAAACCAAAAGTCCTTAAAACGTCCTTAGGTCACAGTCAGTGTGACTAATGAATATCCCTGAAGGTGGTCACATGTATTTGAATTCACACTATTCAAAATTATATGTAAAATATGGTATAATCAGCTCTGCTATAACATGACACATGTGTTCCTCAAAAGCACTGCTATGCAAAATCCCATAATAAAAACTACAGAGATTATGGAAAATAGAGGGCAAGGGGAATAATGCCCAAAAACTTCATCGGCAACATATTATAAAAAAGAGGAACCTTAGAAAAATAATAACTCTGTTTTAAACATGCTAAATAGTTTAGAAGTACATAAACACTACAAAAAATTGTGGTGCATTGCAAGCAAGTTGGGCAGGCCACAACTCAAGGCTTATAGTAGCTCTCCTACTGCACCAGAAGATACACAATAAATATGGCCCTTTGCCTTAAAAAAGACCTGAACTTTACCCATGGAAGTGGGCCTCAGAAGGGTGGCACCTTGTGAGAGATGGTGAAATTGCATCATTTTCTGCATTCTCTGTTCCTCACAGAAGAAATCGAGCTGAAGCAAACTTCACATTCACATTATGTTCAGAGTTTTCCCTAATATATCAATTGCACAGAAACAAATTCACGTTTTCAAAATGTAAATCATAGCAGAACTGGTTGTAATTGGCTCCAGACCAATGGAAATAGTGAGTGTGAATTCAAATAATGTAGCCATTTGGGGAGGTTGTTTTTAATCAGGATCTAACTGCGATTTATAATTCATAGGTTTTGTGATTTTACATTTTTTGCATTAAAAGGATCTTGATTTATATTAAATATGCAATACTCACTGCAGTTGTTAAAGTCTCCACTTGATTAACCACTTCCTTTTTTCCTTCAGACATGCTAAGTAATTCCTCTTTATTCCAGTCAAGCTCCTTCTGAACTTTTTCTGCTTCTGTACTATAGTGCTTCGAAATATCCTCTGCACTCTTCAGCTCTTTCCTATGAGGATGGCGCAGAAGAAAAGCCATTCATACTCACTAGAAATGTAAAGACTGATTATATTTCCTTTATCTTCTGGCTTTGTGTGACCGACCCATGAGCAAGTCACCAGCTCTCTGGACCTCAGTTTCTTCATTTGCAAAATGAGGTTATACCACCTTGCAGGGTTGTAAGGAGTAAATGAGTTAATATGCAAAAGCCATTTGTAAATCTGAAAATGCTATATAAATTCCAGATACCCAATAAAGCATATCTGCAAAAGTATATGCACTGATTGAATACATAAGGTATATAGTATGTTTAGTAACATAATTTCTTCTTCTTTCCCTTAATAGCTTTATTCTAAAATAGAAGAAAAAGGAACTTAGAGAGATTATATGAGATTCTAATCTGCCACTACTCCTGCAACTTTTATATATCTTTAAAATTTTCACTACTTTTGTTTTAAAAAAAATTCATGGCGAAGTTACTTGAAACCTAGTTATCTTCCAATGTTTCCACTGCTTTAACAACTCTTTGATTTTCAAAAAAGTACCCTTTAGACTGAAAGGCTATAGTGGGAGAGTTTCTAACTATGTTTCTGAAAGACTAAGGTGGTAGTTCAGGTGGTTATTTCTGGAGAGAGAAATTCCAGTGTGGAAACTCCCTCCCATCTCATCAGAACTAAGCATCACTTGACAGAATTTAGATGCAGGTCTTCTCGACTCCAATGCTGTCCCATCTTCTATCTTCCACTTCCTATGTTTTCATCAGTGTAGGGAATCACTCATGAAGATATTTTTCTTTACCACTGCATACCTACAACTCTTCCTTATTTATTTATTTGTTTATTTATTAGTTTTTTTATATTTTATTGATTTCTAGTTCTTTGAAAATCAGTAATTTTTTTTTATTTTAGTATTTTATTTTTCCCCAGTTACATGTAAAACCATTTTTTAAAATTCATTTTTAAAACATTAAGTTCCAAATTCTTTCCCTTCCTCCTTCCCATTGGGAGGGCAAGTATTTTGATGTTATACATGTGTAGTCATGCAAACCATATCCATAATTATCTTCCACTTTATCACATTGTTTCTCAAGGGAAAGCGGGGAAAAAGGAAAGGGGTGAGCAAAGTATTTGATCTTCAGCTACCTCAAGGCGAATATTCCCATTTAGCATGCCTTTCCCCTCTAAGGCTCAGGTTCAAGCTTCAATTAGAATAAGTGGGGGTTCAGGGGGAGGCATACAGCTGCTGCAACCACTCTTCATGAGACTGTGGGTGTCTCACCACTGATTGGCCAGTAAAAAGGAAACCTGTACTTTATCCCATCGACAGAGATGAAAGAAGAGAACAGTGTTAGCGATAAGTGATGGATGAGAGATAGAAGAGTCAATCTAATTCAGTGTTGTTTCCTTCCCCTACTCTCACCCTCCCACAAGGTCTTTGCAATCTGGTATCTCATCTTTAATAATCCTTTGTCTGGCAAATGGAAAACATATGCCATTTAGAAAAGTCTCTGTAGGCAGAGAGGTTGTGGTTTCAGGTTTAAAATAAAAGTAGTGATGGGGTTATTTTATTTAGTCTTTTTAAAAAAATTTGCGATAAACTATATATGATTGAAGAATATACACAGAAGAAGAAAATCACTTAAATAAGTGAATGAAGGATATCAGGAATAGCACCCCTTATTATCCCCCAGATGTTTTAAAATCAATTATTTTTATTTGAATCATTTCACATTCTATGAAAAGAATATTTACTAGTCCACTATGTAAATTACAAAAGATTCTCAGAACCACGGATGCAGGCATATGCCTCTTCTTTCATGGAGGAATATCAGCTGTATGACTCTGGGCAAATCATTTGCCTCTCTGAGCTTCAAACTTTTGATCTGTAAAAAAGGGATAATATTGTTTATCTGAATCACAGAATCACAATAAGGACCAAAGAAAACGCTTTGTAAAATGTAGAGATGAAGAATTTTGAGAGTACGTCTTCTTAACTTGTGACCTACAGAACATACAGCTTATCGGCCCTTCTTTCCATACAATTACAGTGATGATGAGGCGCTATCAGTCAGATATTAATTTTCACTGTAATCAGATCTCTTGTCCTGAAATGATTCTTACAATGACAGAAAACGTGCCTGTAATTGGGTACGCAACAATAAATTTTAAAGGAACACAGAGGCCAGTTTTGTTCCATCAATTTGATAAGATGGTAAGGAACTAAACTTAACTAGGGGCCTTTATTCCTAGAAAACAAATAAAGAAATTTCTTTGAACCAGGAACCATTTATATGGGAAGCCATATAAAGAGAGGAATTTTATCTACTGATTGTTTTGGGGACACTCTTTGGTACAGAAGAATAAGTACTGGATTTGGAATAAGAACACTAGAATCCAATCCTCCCCCACCCCACCCTCTCCCCAACCAATTTACAAATAAATATGGCAAGTTACCTATGTGGGCCTCAGTTTCCTTATCTGTAAAATGAGGGGGTTGGTTCTGATAACCACTAAATTTACCTTCCTGTTCTCACTCTATGATCTTAAATGGAAGAAAAAGGTAGGAAGGCATGTGTTATAGAAATTAGGACCATTCTTGGACCGTTATTCCTACTCTCAGGTAACAGGATGCAATTCTTCCTTTTCAAAATCAAGGCCCCACAGTGAAAAGAGCCCCATATCCCCCACTCAACCCAATGGTTTGCACTGAAACGGCAGAGGTGGAGGTCAGAAGCACAATGGCCCAAAAGCAGGACAGGATGTCAGGAAGTTTTAAAATAAAAAGTACTCCTTGAATGGCTTATGGAAGTTTTGGCTGGTGAATGTCAGGAAACATGAGGACTAATTTTGTATCCTAACAACCGATATTGATAAAGTGCTTTCTTCATGACAGCCCCATGAGGTTGATCACAGAAATCATAGATTTACAGGTGGAAAGGGCAAGAGAGGTCATCTAGTCCAATCCCCTGGTTTTATTGATGAGGAAACCAAGGCCAGAGAGATTAAGTGTTTTGCCCAAGATCATACTGGCAAAAAAAAAAAAAGGCAGAGATAGGATTTAAACTCTGTTTTCAATATGTTTTCCACTAGAACATGTTGCAAGCATTTGCTGTGGAGAGAGGGAAGGAAGAGATGTCTATGACTTCATTGGTATTCCCTCCTTCTCGAGACTAGTGGTCTTAGAGATTTGCTTAGGGCACTGAGAATTTAAGTGACTAATTCATAGCTAGTATATATCATAAGTGGGATGTGAATGCAGAAATTCCTTATTGCCAGACTAGCTCTGCTTGCAGGCATTACAATCCTCATTTTATAGATAAGCAAACTGAGGTTTATGGGATGAATTCACTTACTCAGGATTAAAGAGCTAGTTGTGCTCTGATTCCAAGGGTAAGCTGGGTGAGCATTTAAACGGAGTGCTTTGAACTGCAAAGGTTCAGGTGAGAGCAACAAGAACAATGAAGGAGAGATGTCAAAAGGCGGGGAAAAGATATAAAAAGATGAGGTGGCACCACAAATAAGCTTTGTGTGCTTTGAAGTTTTGCATGAAACCCCATAACCAACTGTGTACCATTAGGATGCTCTGTAATTCTGCTACCTTTTACACACCACATAGGTGGCTACTATCTGCTGCATTTCTTTTTTTTTTTAACATATATTTATTTTTAGTTTTCAACATTCACTTCCACAACTTTTTGAGTTCCAAATTTTCACCCCATCTCACCTCTCCGCCCACCCCAAGATGGCATGCATTCTGAATATCCCTTCCCCTAGTCTATCCTCTCTTCTATCTCTCCCCGCTTCTCTTATCCCCTTCCTTTCTATTTTCCTGTAGCACAGGATAGACTTCTGTACCCCATTTCCTGTATTTCTTATTTCCCAGTAGCATGTGAAAACATTTTTTAAACATATGTTTTTAAAACTTTAGGTTTCAAATTTTCTCTCCTCCTCCCTCCACACCCAACCTCACTGAAAAGGCAAGCAACTCAATATAGGTTGTACATGTGCAGTTATGCAAAATACTTCCTTAGTAGACATGTTGTGAAAAACTAACTCTATTTCCCTTAATCCTATGCTGCCCTCCCATTTATTCTATTCTTTCTTTCGACCCTGTGCCTCCTCAGAAGTATTTGCTTCTGATTACCCCTTTCCCAATCTGCCCTCCTCTCTATCATCCCCCTGCTCTCTTATCCCCTTCTCCCCCTATTATCCTGTTGGGTAAGACAGATTTCCATACCCAATTGAATGTGTATGTTATTCCCTCCTTAAGCCAAATCCTATGAGAATAAGATTCACTGATTCCCTCTCACCTTCCCCATTTCCCCTCCACTGTAAGAGACTTTCTTTTCTGGGTTTTTTTTTTTGAGATAATTTACCCCATTCTACCTCTCCCTTTCTTCTTCTCCGAGTATAATCCTCCCTCATCCCTTAATTTTTTCTCCAGATATGACCCCTTAATCTTCAACTCACCCTGTGCCCTCTATCTATCTATCTATATATATACATACATATAATTTTTTTCCTCCAACTACCCTAATACTGACAAAGGTCTCATGAGTTATAAATATCATCTTTCCATGCAGGAATGTAAACAGTTCAATCTTAATAAGTCTCTTATGATTTCTCTTTCCTGTTTACCTCTTCATGTTCCACTGGAGTCCTGTATTTGAAAGTCAAATTTTCTATTCAGCTCTGGTCTTTTCATCAGGATGCTTGAAAGTCCTCTATTTCACTGAATGACCATTTTTTCCCCTGAAGGATTATACTCAGTTTTGCTGGGTAGGTGATTCTTGGTTGTAATCCTATCTCCTTTGCCCTCTGGAATATTATATTCCATGCCCTGCGGTCCTTTAATGTAGAAGCTGCTAAATCTTGTGTTATCCTGATTGTGTTTCCACAGTACTTGAATTGTTTCCTTCTGGCAGCTTGTAATATTTTCTCCTTGACCTGGGAACTCTGGAATTTGGCTATAATATTCCTAGGAGTTTTCCTTTGGGGATCTCTTTCAGGAGGAGATCTGTGGATTCTTTCAATTTCTATTTTGCCCTCTGGTTCTAATATATCAGGGCAGTTTTCCTTGATAATTTCTTGAAAGATGATGTCTAGGCTCTTTTTTTGATCATGGCTTTCAGATAGTCCAATAATTTTTAAATTCTCTCTCCTGGATCTATTTTCCAGGTCAGTTGTTTTTCCAATGAGATATTTCACATTGTTTTCTAATTTTTCATTCTTTTGGATTTGTTTTACAGTGTCTTGATTTCTCATAAAGTCACTATCTTCCAATTGCTCTATTCTAATTTTTAAGGAAGTATTTTCTTCAGTAAGCTTTTGGACTTCCTTTTCCATTTGGCCAATTTTTTTTTAGGGCATTTTCTCCTCATTGGCTTTTTGGACCTCTTTTGCCATTTGGGTTAGGCTATTTTTTAAGGTGTTATTTTCTTCAGTATTTTTTTGGGTCTCCTTTAGCAAGCTGTTGACTTGTTTTTTATGATTTTCTTGCATCACTCTCATTTCTCTTCCCAGTTTTTCCTCTACTTCCCTTACTTGCTTCTCAAAATCCCTTTTGAGCTCTTCCAAGGCCTGGGACTGATTCATATTTTTCTTGGAGGCTTTGGATGTAGGAGCTTTGACTTTGTTGTTTCTTCTGGTTGTATATTTTGATCTTCTTTTCACCAAAGTAAGATAATATAGTCTGACTCTTTTTGCGCTGCTTGCTCATGATTCCGGCCAATTACTTGAGTTTTAAACTCTTTGTTAAGGTAAGAGTCTGCTTCCAATGTGGAGAACGTACTGTCCCAAGCTTCAGGTGTTTGTACAGCTGTTTTCAGAGATACTTGTAGGGACCTGTAAATTTTCAGTTCTTGCAAGGTGGTATGATAAGGGGCCAGGTGTTTACTCCTTTCCTGGCCTGTGACCACAAGTACTCCTTTCTGTCCTATAACTGTGAGGAGGGTTCTCTCCACAGCACTCCAAGCTCTACCACACCAGCACTCCTCCTCACCCTAGCACTGCTGCCCAGAACTGTGGCCCAGATCCAAACACGGGCAAAGCAAGAGATTCCTGCCTCAGCACTGGCAAAGAGATCCCTGCAGTCCCTCTCTGATCAGCCACTGGATTCCCCTCAGTCTGTGGGCTGGAAGCTCGGGAAGCAGCTGCCCTCTCCCCAGGGCCAGGCTCTTGGGAAATGGAGCTGAGACCCCGCCTTCCTCTCTCAGCACCACAGAAACAGACTTTTCCCACTGACCTTCTAAGTTGTCTTTGGCATCAGTGGGTTGAGGAGTCCAGAAACCTCCACAGCTGCCTGTGATTCAGTCCTCTGAGGCCTGCTCCAGGTTCGCTGTGGCCTGCGCTTCCACGCTGTGCTGCACTCCCAGCCCGGCACAATACACCTTTCTGGTCAATCATCCAGGTTGTCTTGGGCTCGAAATTTGCTTCACTCTGTGTTTTTGTGGGTTCTGCTGCTTCAGAATTTGTTTAGAGCCATTTTTTATGAGTATTTGGAGGGGTTTGGAGGAGAATTCAAGCAAGTCACTGCTTTCACTCCACCATCTTGGCCCCGCCCCTGCTGCATTTCATAAACATTGGGTCTTAGCCAGGCTATAATTAAATGCTTACTATTAACAAAACCTGCTGTAAGTGGCTGACGACTGGTGGAATTCTCTCACTTGACTGCTTAAACTGGCAGAAAGAACACTGAACCGAAGTCTAGAGACAGCATGCAGAGAAGGAACACTGGGTATGGAATCAAGAGGAATCAGTTTCAAATCTTGCCTCTGTCACTTATTCCTAGTGAGACTATGGATGCTGCCTATAAAACAAGAGGCACAAGCTTGGAGGTTTTAAAGGTTTCCTCCCAGATCGGAAACCATATTCCCATAATCCTTGCTACTTTTTCTAAATTGAATTTGCTAAAGATTTTGAGCAAAATAGTTCATGTTTATATTCTCATTTAAAATAATATTTTGGAAAAAAAAATTTTGAGGATAAAGTAACTTTTAGATTTATAAGTGGGAATGGTTTTTAAGACCTATTTTTCATTTTAAAAAGATATTTTCAAAGTTCCATGAAGAACTCTGTAAAAACTCAATGTTATTATATTAGGGGAAAAAAATAACTGTTCTTACTTAAAGCGATCTAACATTTCTTCAGTTGCTTTTAGCTCACTGGCCATTTTTTCTCTTTCTTTTTTAGCCATTCTGCAGGCTAACTGATACTCAAACATAATCTGTTCCAGTATATCATGAACTGCCTGGTATGTTGTTAATTCCTGAAAAAGAAAAAAGAAAAATGCTCACTAAAACATCTTCTTAGAATTATATATAAGTTATTGATACTTAAAGGAACCATACAAATGAAAAATTACAGGAAAAATTAATTTGAAACCACTATTTGTTTTACAAGAAAGAGATTATATTCTATATTCCTTCTCTTACCTGTACTCTTGAGGTTATTGCTAGAGAGATCTCCAGGTCTCCTATTTCTCTATGTCCAACAGCACAGGAGACTTAGTCTTATATCATATTTCTTCCCCACTCCAGTTCATCCTCCACACAGCTTCCAAAGTGATTTGCCCAAATTACAGGCCTGACCATGTCACTTCTCCTACTCAAGAAACTCCAGTAGCCCCCTATCACAGCCAGGACTGAATATGAACCTTTCTATTTGAAATTTAACTCTTTACCACCTGGTTCCATTCTGCCTCTGCAGGCCTCTTACACTTTCCTCCTCACAATGTACACTATCATCCAGAAATACTTTGGGATGATAGCATAGAGCAATACTTCTTTTTCTCCTCTGTCTCCCGTCTCCCTTCTTCCTTCTCTCCTCTTCCTTCTCCTTCTTCTTCTCCTCTCTCCTGTCTCTCTCTCTCTCTCTCTCTCTCTCTTCTCTCTCATTCTCTCTCCCCTCTCTCTCTTCTGTCTCTGTCTTTCTGTCTCTGTCTCTCTTCTCTCTCATTCTCTCTCCCCTCTCTTCTGGCTTTCTCTCTCTCTCTCTCTCTCTCTCTCTCTCTCTCTCTCTCTCTCTCTCTCCTCTCTGTCTTCTGTCTCTGTCTCTCTTCTCTCTCCCCTCTCTTCTGACTTTCTCTCTCTCTCTCTCTCTCTCTCTCTCTCTCTCTCTCTCTCTCTCTCTCTCCCCTCTCTCTCTTCTGTCTTTGTCTCTCTTCTCTCTCATTCTCTCTCCCCTCTCTTCTGTCTTTCTGTCTCTCTCTCCCTCTTTCTTTCTCTCTCTTCTCTCTCCCCTCTCTCTCTCTTCTGTCTCTGTCTCTGTCTCTGTCTCTCTCTCTCTCTCTCTCTCACACACACACACTTCGCCTTTGCCCTGGCTATCTGCCATTTCTGGATTGTTCTCCCTCCTCACTTCAGTCTTTTTTAATCCCTGAATTCCTACAGAACTCCAGAGTCACCATCAGATGCACAAGGTCTTCCCTGGTCCCCAAGAAACAAAAGTCTTCCCCTCCATGATCACATTGTATCTGATTTGTAAGTGCTATGTATGTAGTGATATCCATGCTGTCTCATGTAAGCTCCCTGAAGGCAGGAACATTTTTGCTTTTGTTCTTATATCTCTATGCCCCCCAGTGGACCCTGTACAAAGTAGGTGCTTGGTAAGTACTTGATGATTAATTGATTAATGAGATGTGGATCCAGAATTCAAATTGACAATTATTTATTGAGTACCTGTCCAACACATTTGGGATACAAGAGAAGTATATGACCCAGTCACTGCTCTAAGATTTAGTCTTGTAGAAAAATAGATATTTGTATAAAATTAACAATTAAGGAAGAATACAAACCAGAATATAATGCAGTATTCAAATGACTATTATGAAATGTTAAACACTCCCAATACACCAACAGTCACTGATGTTGTCACAGCTAGGGTCCTATTAGTAAAAGTAATCAATTCCCTGAAAGGGTTGTGTTTTATTTGAATTCACACTATTCAAACTTATAATTAAAGTAAAATGTAGTAATTGGGGGAACATCTAGGTGGCACAGTGGATAGAGGGCTGAGCCTGCAGTCAGGAAGACCTAAATTCAAATCTAGCCTTGGATACTTACTAGCTGTGTGACCCTGGGCAAGTCACTGTACCCTGTTTGCTTCAGTTTCCTCATCTGTAAAAGGAACTAGAGAAGGAAATGGCAAATCACTCCAACATCTCTGCTAAGAAAACCCTATATGGGATCACAAAGAGTCTGACATGACTGAAAAACACAACTGAACAACATAAAAAAATGTAGTCATTGGTTCCAACCCAACGGAAATACAGAGAGAGAGCTTGAATAATATAACCACTTCAAGAGATTCATTATCTGTACTAATCACTAAATGGGACGTAGCTGTATTCCTTCCTGTTGCACAGATCCCAACCCATATAGCATTGCCTGCCCATTCTGTGGGGTTTTTATCCATATCTACCATAAAGAGTTCACTCAATGAAAACAGGAGCTATGGATGTTAGGAAAGAAAGGAGATCAGCACAGGCCCAGGTGACTCAAAAAAAAAAAAAGGGCTTCATGAGATGAAGTGTGAATGAATAAGCAGCAGAAGAGTGAATTATTCAGTTCCTTCAGTCCAACTCTTTGTGACCCCATTTGGGGTTTTCTCAGCAGAAATACTGGAGTGGTTTGCCATTTCCTTCTCCAGCTCATTTTACAGATGAGGAAACTGAGGCAAAGAGAATTAAGTGATTTGCCCAGGGTCACACAGCTACTCAAGAATCTGAGACAAGATTTGAACTCAGGTCTTTCTGACTCCAAGGCCAGTGCCGAAGAATGAAGAGCTCTATGCAAAGCAATCCAATGACAATGACCTCCTTTGCTGTTCAATCTCCCAACTCAGGACATTTTCTCTGGTTCTTTCCCCATGCCTGGAATGCCCTCCTGCCTCATCGCTGCCTTCTAGCTTCCTTCAAGTCTCAGCTAAAATCCCACCTTCTACAATAAGCTCTTCCAGATCCCCCTTGATGCTCGTGCCCTCCTTTTATTAACTGGCTCCAATTTATCCTATGTATAGCTTATGTGTGCAGTTGTTTGCTACTGTTTCTCCCAACAGACTGAACTTCTCAAGACTTCTCCTAGACTGTCTTTTATCTTTCTTTGTTTGCCCCTCTCTTACCACATAATTAATGCTTAATACATGTTTACTGAATGCTTTAAAAAAAAAAGTACATATTCTCATAAGAATAGAGATAGGAACTAGACCTATGATTTCACTGGGATAGGAACTTTCTGAGATGAGGAAATTCCCTGTACCAATGCAAGTCAGCATTGACTTGTCTGATACTTACAGCCTTAGAGAATTGCCCTTAGCACCAAGGGGTTAAATGACTCACCCAGAATCTCACAAGCAGTAAGTGTCAGAGGTTGTACTGGGTCCCAGTCTTCCTGGCTTCAAGGCCAGCTCCCCATTTACTACACCACACTGCCTCTTAGTAAGAGTAGAGATAATAATGATTATCTCATGTTGTATTATATTACATCGTTACAATAATGATCTCTTACTAGAGAGGCAGTGATACAGCTAGAGAAAATAGGTGATAGGATTATAGAACTTGAGCTGGAAAGGAACTGGTCTAACCTCTTCGCTTTACATATGAAGTGGAGTGGTTTGCATGGGGTCACTGGGTAGTATGTGACTCAGCCAGAATTTGAACTCATATCCAGTGTTTGATCTTCTTTTGCCAAATGAATTAGTCTCCCATGAGGCTGAAGAAGGAATACCGCAAGATTGTAGGTATGTCTTTTTTTTTATCAAGTAGATTACTAAGAAAAATGTCCTCAATTCAGCAAAAAACTTGTCAAGTTATAAAGTATGTTTAACACTCATGAAGGTTGTGGTGAATCAGAATTCAAAGACAAAAAACAACTATTTCTAGACTTCAGGTTGGGCGGGTGGGGGAGGGGAGAAGGATGGAAGAGGAAGCACATTTGCAGGACCATGGTAAGATAGAGAAGAAATTTTGTCAAAAGTGCTGATTTGAGGATTTTGTTAAATGGAATAGAAATTGTGTGTGTGTGTGTGTGTGTGTGTGTGTGTGTGTGTGTTTCTGATACGCCATAAGGAGATATGGCTTCCTAGACCTTTCGGAGTAGCTCTATGACACAATCAGATCCCACGCACAAGACACATCATCCCAGTAGCTATTAAGCTAACAAAAAATGTTTTATGTACCTTGTACCTTACGTACTTTCATCTGTGCAAATATTTTTTACCTAAAAAATCTCCAAAATATTATTCTAAAATTTTTGACAAGACTTCAAAACTGAAATGTAACTTTTAAAACTCAAGCAACAATGGTAGCGGGGTAATGTGACCAAAAAGATGGCAGGTCAGTCACATTTTCTAATCCTCTTCAAACCTTCACCCTTTCCCCCAAAATGGACCTTTGCATCAGATGTAGAATAATCACAGCTAAATCCATAGAAGAAAGACAGAACTCTAACAAGGTAAGATCCTTAAGAACTGACACTACAGAACTTGAATACTTGATGTAGCATTCAGAACCACCCTCCTCTCAGCCTCCATGCTGCTTCTGCAAAACAAGCCAATTCACGGGGTTGAGCAGTGATTCGTCTATGGATGCGGTGATTCCCAAAACACCTCATTTCTCCCACCACACAAGAAATGCCAGATGCTGATTCAGCCCAACTACAGGCAGCTAAAGAAGAAGACTGAATACGTGTACCTTTTGATTAGGCTTAAATCTAGCTTAGTGAACTCCATAAAGCTACAGTTGCTCTGCTGGAACAGAGTCCACCTTGTGCTGACCTTGCAAGAAACAACAGTATCCAATTCTGCCAAACCAGGAAAAGGAAAGGAAGAGAGCCATGAAGGAACCCGATGAGGTTCTAATATAGACTGCTGTATTAGGACAGAAGGAAAAAGACTGAAGCCCATCTAAGGCCAATCCTACTCAATTCTTCCTCCACAGCTCAGGGACTTAGACAAAGAAGCCCTATATCCTTCCAAATCCCAAGGAGGTGGAGGAAACTTAGCAGTCTAATCAAAGTGTCTGAAAGGGAATACAAAAAAGGTGTCAAGAGTAGAAGTCCCTACAAAATCCCAGCAGAATGCAGATAGACAGGATCCAAAAACCAAAAAGAAGTATAAACGAAACCTCAAAGAGAATAAAAAGAACTATTACAATTATTTTAGGAAGGAAATTGAACCAATGCCTGATAAAAGAACAAATCCTATGGGCTCCCTAGTCCATAGCATGAAACAACATAAATAAATTCCTGAATGACTTGAAAGAGAGATTAG